ATGACAGATTATTTATTTCCAAAATCTGCAAGCCTCCCCCGTCCCCATCCCCGAATGAAATGTTCGTCCCCTAAGCAACAGCTTGCAATGCTGTTACCTACAAATTTTATTCACTACTCTGTTTTCCATGTCAAACTAGTAGAATTAAAGTTCTAAAAAAAAAAAAACTGGCTGTTTGTTGCGTCAGATAAAATTAATTTTAAATTCTTGTCCCATTTACCCCTCTGAAAATGTGGTATGAAAAATAAATATTTTGTTTAAATATATACTGAAAATATATTGTACTTAGCCGGGACGATATTTGGCAGAAATTCGTAGATTTGAGGGCCTTGCTGGTCTAAATAAAAACATTTTATAAACTTGAATTACTTAGATTAGAGGATACCGTTTTCTGCCAGGACGCTGGAAAAGAAAAATACACAGCCAAATGTAAGTATACGTCTAATCTACTGTTGTTTTACGTCCCTTGCGAGAATTTGCACTAATATAAGACGATATAAAACCTGATCTGAAGAGAAACATGTCTAATAATCATTCCATTGATATTGAATTATTATGATACAATTCACGGGTCACTTGAAAGCAGATAGTCGTGAATTTCTTTTTTATAAAAATTATTTTATCTCATTTTTCTGCACTGAATACCGGACAGAATTTCACGACTTCAAGCATGACGTCGCGATATTTTATGACGTCGTTCTATAAAATGTTACATTTTGCGACATAAAAGCAATTATCCACATTAAATAACGCAAAAACTAACCCGAAGACATATCAATTTTATCACATTGATTTATTTCAAATCAATTCTTAAATAAAATACCAAAGGGAAAACAATTTTGTCTGCACCAATTAAAAGTTATTGATATATTTTTAAACATAATCTTGCCTCCAAAAGAGCCGAAAACGACGTTTTTCTTATATAATTCAATAGAATACAGTCAAAAATGTTACGAAAACAATGGCATGTTTGAGATTTAATTACACAAATACGGTGCAGACGAATTTTATAAAATTTTCAGAGAATGTAAAACGAAGGTATAGGATTCATATAACTAATTTTTATGGTATGTTTTCGGACACTTTTAAATGGCCTGCAAACCCGCGACCTACATTAATTTTGGTATATGCTTCTGATGCTGCCTTGTGGTGAAGATTATACGCTACAAATTCGGCCAACAGCCGCTTTATATATAGCATAAGTCCATTTTGTGGGAAACGGTTTATTCCATTCCATGTTAAAAATTCTAACTTCCCGATCGATTAACATTCATTTAAACCCTGATTCATGACACTTCTCAGCATTATAGTGAATATTTAAGTGTAAATTAAGTACCGATTTTTGTGTTTCTTTCATTCTTTTTTTTCAAAACATAAGTACAGGGTGTTTCAGCAAACATGTCCCGACTTTGCGGATTCAGTATAAAGTTACACAGTATTAATAAAAGAAAATTTTTGCAAAAATGAAAGCCACATAACCAAAAAAGTTTATCAATATGAAATTGGAAGTAATGCTGAATGAATTATTATTTAAGACAGGTATTTTTAAAGTTTGAACATCAGCAAGCAGTTTTCAATTTAACGTCAATTTTATGTGTTCGAAAAAGCCGCAATGTTTTATAGTCAGCATTCTCATTTTGTCTTTGAAGTCCTGTATGGCATATATTTTGACATCATTTGAAAAGTCTGTTCCTTAGAAAGATGGTTTTCATATGAGTACTTCTTTTTTCAAAATCTTATGCACTAGAATTGGTGATTTTGAAGATTTTCTGTTTGTATTGTTTTATGGTTCAAAAACATCTCGAGTTTTGAAGATGTAATCAAAACTTCAGTGGAAAATATAAAATTATGTTCTTTTATATTGTTTATATAACAATTATATTGCCGGAAAATGTGCTATAAAATACAGTTATAATTTTGTAAATATTTTATTATTGTGCAAAAATATGGACATCAAAAGTCGGGACATGTTTGTTGAAACACCCTGTATTAATTAATAGGGATAACATTCCATTAATTTTTAGATTTTTTCTTTCATTTGTAAAAATGTTCATGTAAATTCAGGCGCGGATCCAGGATTTTTCTTCCAGGGAGGGGAGGGGGATCCCAGTCAAAAGAAAAATTCTAACACAAAATTTTGACAAGTCAAAAAAAAAAAAAAGAAACCGTAAATTCCCTCCTTCCTAACCGTATTAAACCCAGAAAAATTCTTGACCAAAAAAAGGGGGTAGGGGTTACCATTTCCCAAACGTGAAAAACACCTATTTCGTGGTGGTGATGGTGGGGTCCACGTTTTCCAAGGGGGGGGGGGTTCCAAAGTCATTTTTTATTTGCTTCTGTATATATAGTGTACTTTAAATAACTCTTCAAATTCCAGGGGGGGGGGGTCCGAACCGCCCTCTAGATCCGCGCATGAAATTGAGATCTACCCACAGACATGTAGTTCTCATTGTTTTTGAAAAGGATGGAAAAGTCAGAAAAATAATCAACAACTTACCTGAAAAAATCTTTGACTAGGGAAAAAATTTGAAACACGAAAATCAAATTCTAGGGGAAAAGGGGGTGGGTGGGTTGGTTCCGACTATTTCGACAAGAAGATATTTTGAAATACATAGAAATACATTACCATGTAAGAAATTGACTATGCTGCAACAAAGAATGGGGGTACCAACCAACCTTTTAATGAACATTTTTATACCAAATAAAAAGAAAAAAAATGTTTGGAAAAAAGGGGCGTGTTTGCTGCAACTAAATTCAAAATAACAACAACATTTTTTTTTTTATATCTTTACCAATGAATACGTACATCACAATTGAATAGCTTGTTTGTCAATCAGAAAAGAAAACAAACCAAAAAAGCATATTTTTTTCAACTGGTTATTCTTATCAAGAAATGCAGTCATATAAAATAAATTGTGTTCATTGCGGTTTGTTTGTTTGCCTCGAATTTTTTAAACATTTTTTTTTCTAGAAAACCAGCACTGGCACTTGAACCGCTACCATTTTCCAATAACACAAAGAAGGTGGGCGAACAAGGCGAGCGAAGTGCCTATAGTGCGACAAACATGAAGGTAAAAAATTAAATCTCAATTATAACAAAATTTTCCTTGATATTTCATCTAACATTAAAGTATACTTTATGTAAAATCTCCAAAGTTTGCAAAGATCTCACAAATATTGAAATTATTTGCCTATGAAACAGCATAGGCACACTAAAGAGAGCAAAAAGGATCATTTTCTCATAATATTTTTCGATATCAGTGGGTCTTCGCTCCATTTTTTTTTTTTTTTTGTTGTTGAAAGTTTATCCTCAAAGTTTGCGTAAAAATATTCATTTTTGGTTAACAAAAACATGGAGCAAAGACCCACTATACCTTCAAAATACTCTTTTATGACACAACATTCTAATCTTCAGAAAAACTTGAAGTCCATTTAGTCAAGGGTCACATCACAAACTTGAAATAAATACCAAGTTATAGTTACAATATTAGATATTAGATAGATATATATTAATTGGTTATCGGTAAATACACTCAGTTTTTCATTCATGAGGGGCGAAGCCAATCCAAATCTTATAGCATTTTTCACGTTTGACGATGAATAATCGGATTATTATGGAATGCCTAGGTAATTAAATAGCACGATTAAAGACAAAAACATCTGCCGAAACAAGATATCATGGCACATTTTGGTGACATGTAGTAGGTAAATGATCTTTCAGGCCCATGCGCGGATCTGGGCGGGGGAAGGGGGAGGGTTCCGGACCCCCCCCGGAATTTGCAGAGTTATTAAGTGTATATACTAAACCAACTAAAAGTGACCTTGGACCCCCCCCCCCCCTTAGAAAACACGGATCCCCCTCGAAAACGCGGATCTGTATAAATTTGGTACGTAAAGTCATAGGTATGAAGCTTTAGAAGTTAACTACTAACCCCCCCCCCCCCACACTAGGGTGGAACCCCCCTCCCAATAAATTCCTGGATCCGCGCCTGAGTACGGAAGCGTATTAGTGCCACGATTTTTTTAAGTTGGTAATTCCAACTTTAAGGACATACGCAACGTACCTTACCTGCTGATAATTTTTCAAGATATTCTTAATGTAAGATTATAGTGCCATCAGATGTTCTTAGACAAAAATTCAGCAGGCATTACCAGGTGTTTTGAAAAGATATCAATTGATGAAAATTCTTGTATAATTCAAAGAAAAATATACAAAAATTACTAAACATATATTCTAGATGTTTGATTTATCCAAACTTGTTTTAGAAGAAGTGTACAACAGCATATATAGACATTAAAATGTAGCAAACAGTTCCTTTAAGTATTGGAACTCTTCAACTCCAGGGAAAAAGACAATTAAGTTCAAACTACGTTGCGTATGTCCTTAAAGTTGGTAATTCCAACTTTAATGTTGGTAAATCCAGCTTTAAAGTTTATAATACCGCGGGTATGGTTTTTAATAAAACGTTAATTCTACGTTTTTTTTTTTTGTTTTTTTTTTTGGGGGGGGGGGGTCGTATGGAATATTTCATGATTGTAAATGTGTACTAGAAGAATAATTTATTAAAGATATATATATATATATATATATATATATATATATATATATATATATATATATATATATATATATATATATATATATATATATATATATATATATATATAATCTTTTGACCCGGGTGTATATTCGGGGTGGGGGTGGGGGTGGGGCATTCCACAAGTTCCTGTGGTCGGTCCCTGTTACTATTTAATATCATTATTATTTTCTTTTTTCAAATTTTTTTTGTCGTTATCACCATCATCATCACCATACAGAAAGAGTCTCTAATCAACTGAATCTATAGATGAATATATGTGTAAAACGAACATGGTAAACATGTTTTGAACTCGGGTTCGGTAACCTTCTAGAAGGTGTGTCGGTTTTTACCCAATCATATTGCATCATATGAAACAGAAGGTCGAGGCCGCATTGTTGTTGACGAGTGTGCTGCAAAAGGTCCTAGATAACACGTCTACCACGCACATATTGTAGTTGACACAGATCTGGCCCGGTTTTAGTTTTTCAGACATAGTTCAACATGAGCGAAAAAGGAGCTAACCCCATCGACACGGAACCCATCACTTTAACAAGGTTCATTTTAGCTGAGCAGAAAAAGCACCCGTCAGCCACCGGTGACTTTTCTCAATTGATCAATTTCATACAGACGGCAGTGAAAGCGGTGTCCTCGGCTGTCAGGAAAGCTGGCATTCATAAAATGTATGTACAGAAGACCTTGAACTTTGCACTGTTATTAATTTCAGTCTTGAAATTCAGGGGAAATTAAAAGTAGAACTTGAGGAATTATTCATACTCAGTTATAAGTATTCCGTTTGATATCAATTACAGTTAAACTGTTGATTGCAAAAGGAAAACACCAAAAACATTTGATTTGTGGAAAAAAGTTACAGTTGACAAATAATCCATAATTTGAACTGTATTAATTTATTACTTAGTTATGTATAATTTACTAGTTAACATATATACAGGTACATATGGATATAAGAAAATGTAAGTTTTGAATCCTTATAAAACTGCCAACATTTTGAAGGTTTTTAAAAGTGAGATACCAGCATGTAACCATCCTAAATATGTTCATAGAATCAGACATGATTTTGAATACTAGTTATGCAGTAGAGTCTCTTACATGCATTTGTAGTTTGCAAAATAAACAGTAATTTGAATGCAAAGGTATACATAATGCATATAATGCATACAATATACATAGAACAGCTATTAAGACTACATTTTTGAAACTTAATCCTAGAGGATGAAGCATGCAGCTTTGTAAACAAGTTTACAAATTATTTGATCTTTTCATGAGCAATCGGATATATGTCAGATTCACTATTCTGTGTCATCGTTACTGTCAACAGCTGATTTCCTGCTCATTTTGATCATAGAAGTACCACAAATGATGTGGTATAATCCCTGATTAAGCAATCTCGAGACATACAATAAACTTTCAAATTATATTGTCAGACATTGTTGAGCAACAGCATTTGAGTCAGAACATGTTGTTTTTTTTTAATTTGTACGTAAGAGCTATTTGCTATTTTACTTGGTAGATTGTTGTTCATGTTTAAATCTATTTGATCACTGACCAAGCCAAACCTTTTACAACTGGGCTTCAAAAAAAAATTAAAGGCAACTACAATCTTAACAGTGAATGAAAGAATCTTTAATAAAATTTGAATCTTTTTTAATTGAATAATGAAGGGGATTGATTTTATCACAATTCCTTTATGTCGCAGTTCATTCTAAGCACATAATTATATGAGTCTAATCTATGCACATGCTTTAGTACATGTATATTTCATTTAAGCATTTGTTTTGATCTATTGATTTATACCTTTTTTCCCTATTGCCTACATTCACTTTTCATTCAGCCGAATATTCATCTATGCTAACATCTTCCAGATTTGGTATGTCCGGTACAGAGAATGTGTCTGGAGATGACCAAAAAAAGTTAGATGTTTTGGCCAATGACCTGTTTATTAACATGCTTAAGTCTTCCTATCTAACTTGTCTTCTGGTGTCGGAGGAAAACGATCATGCAATTGTCGTGGAACCAGAGAAAAAGGTACTAACAGTGTATACGTGTACATGTATTTGGATCATCTTAGTAACACTGCAGATAATGAAATGGTGTATTGTTAGTGTCTTAACATTAAACAACAAAAGAATATTTTTCCTAGAAAGAAAACTGCATGTTTTGCTTTAAAAATACTGGAGAAAATGACATTCCAGGTCTTAAACATCCTCACAATGTCAAGGTTTTGTGATTTCAGAACTCCACATAAACCCTTGACATAAGTCGTTATTTAAAAATTGGGTTAGAAAGCTACTACATGTATTTCATTTGTTCCTGGTGTAGGGCTGGAACTAATCATAAAACAGCTTTTATTGTAGGTAAGTTTTGTGAACAAATATGACTCGTCTTTAAAATGGAAAGTGTCAATATTGTAGGATTTGTGACTAGTTACTTTAAATGAAGCATGCGGGATTCATTTTTTGAAGATCGTCCTCCTTAGAATCACAAAAGATATGCTCTGGAGTTGGGCAATTTGATAACGACAGATTTGAAAATCTCATTGGTTAGTTTATAATTACCCATTACGTCATGTGTAACCACAAGCCCAACTTTTAAATAACGACTTGTGTCAAAGGTTTGTGTGGAGTACCTTGACATTGTGAGGATGTGTCTTAAAGAAAAAAGAAAGATTCTTCATATAATTTTAGCTCACCTGAGCCAAGGTTCAAGTGAGCTTTTCTGATCAAAATTGTTCTATTGTCTGTCATTGCTAACTTTTTACAATTTCACCTTCTTTTACAGAAAAGACATGCATCCAGGAATTTTTTCGGGGGGGTCCACCCCAGTCTAAAAATATCCAACCCAGAAATTTCTTGACAAGGAAAAAAAATGTAAAATCCATTTCCTAAACACATCAGAAAACATTAAATCCATTTACCACATTTCCCAAACGTAGAAAAAAACTGGTGGTGCTGGTGGGGTCAATGTTATCTAGGAAGGTCCAAAATAATTTTTTATTTGCTTCAGAATATACTTTAAATAACTCTGCAAATTTGGGGGGGGGGGGGGTCTGGACCCCTCCAACACCCATCTAGAATAATAAATGAAAATAATGTGAAAGCTTCCTGACATAGTGCAGATTCAAGTTTGTTCAAATCATGACCTCAGGGGTAGGGTGTAGCCACTACGTATGGGCGATCAAAGATTTACATGGGTATGTGTAGGAAAAATCTTTTAAAATCTTCCTCTCAAGAACAGCAAAGCCAAGATCAGTCATATTTATATAGAAGCATCCATAGGTAATGTAGATTCAAGTTTTTTCAAATCATGACCCGGGGGTAGAGTGTGGCCACTAAGGATGATCAAAGTTCTACATGGGTATATTTAGGATAAATCTTTAAAATCTTTTTCTCAAGAATTGGAAAGCCATGATTAATCATATTTTTATGGAATCATCCTCTAGTTATTTAGATTTAAAATGTTCAAATCATGATCCCCGGGGATGGGGTGTGGCCACTATGGGTGATCAAAGTTTTATATGGGTATAAATAGGAAAAATCTTTAGAAATCTTCTTTTCAAGAATAGGAAAGTAATGATTAATCATATTTATTTGGAAGCATCCTCAGGTTGTGTAAATCCAAGTTTGTTTAAATCATGATCGTAGGGAGAGGCTACAATGCGGATCATTGTTTTTCCATAGAATACATAGAAGAAATCTTTAAAAAAATCTGATGATGAAGAACAGCAAAACAATGATCAGATATATTTATATAAGCATCCACAGGTAGTGTATATTCAATTTTGTTCAAATCATGACCACTGTGGGTAGGGTGTGGCCACAATGGATAAAAAGTTTTACATAGAAATACATAGACAGGGGCTGACAAATAGATTTTTTAGGAACTTGTCCAAGGGCAAGTGCATGGTCAAAATTCACTTGCCCTACCTGAATTTTTGCTTGCCCCACCATCATGACCATAAACTAATACTGTATATATTTATAAATATTTCAAAAAATAGGAAGACAAATATTGAGTAGATCATGCAAGCCCCTGTCAGACTGTGCCTATCTTTATTTTTATTACTTACACGTGGATTTAATTTTTTTAAGTCCCTTGCCCATGGGCAAGTGGTTGATAAAATTTTACTTGCCCACCCCTAAAATTCACTAGCCCAGGGCGTCGGGCAATGGGATTGGTCAGCCCCTGATAGAAAAAATCTGTTAAAAACCTTTTTCCCAGGAACAGCAAAGTCTCAGTCATATTTATAAAAAACAGATAGTGTAGATTCAAACTTGTTCAAATCATAACCTCCCAGAATAAATGGGACTATAATGGATGATCAAATTTTACATGAGAATATATAGGAAAATGAACCTGCTGATGAACAAGAGGATCCAGAGTTACCCGGACGAGTGATGAGGCCCCAACAACACCTGTAGGAAAATTCTTTCTATTGGGGATACCGATCTGTTATCTGCAACTCCTCCTATACCACTGAATAAAATTTATTGAGACTTTCACAGTCTGTTACATAATGCAATTTTGTTTTAATGGGACAGGTGTTTGGGGTTTCCCATAGCAAAACATGGACTTTGCCATTCTTTATTAAACCCCCCTTTGAAAAGCAGGGGGTATATAGTACTGAGGGTATCGGTCTGACTGTACGATTGTTCTTCCATCCGTCTGTTTTGCTTTGGGGTACCCATCTCTTATGTGCATCTCCACTCCTCTTATACAACTGATTAAAAATTAATGGGACTTTCACAGAATCTCTGTTACATAGTGCCATTGTGACCTCCTATTTTACTTTTTGATCAGACATATATTTTTGGTTTCCCATAGCAAAACAGAGACACTACCATTCTTGCTATAATATTGAAGGGTACCCATCTCTTATCCGCAACTCTTCCTATACCACTGATTAAAATTTAATGATACTTTTACAGGATCTTTATTACATAGTGCCCATGTGTACCTCCTGTTTTATATTTGTATTGGACAGATACTTTGATATCACAAATGTTCATGGGATTTTAATTTTCATGGTATGATGAGACCAACGAATTCATGTTCCCCACGAAATGTTAAAATTTTAAACTGTATCATCATGTTTGTCCCTCAACCATGAAATAAAAACTCCATGAACAAATATTTTTTCCTCAAACTATGAAAATTTGACTCCACAAAAAATATTTTACATAAATGGGGTTTCCAATAGCAAAACATGGACTTTGCCATTATACTTGTAATGGGAACCAGTGTATCTAGGGAATAAATAAACCAGAGAAGTTTGTCTAGCTTTTCTGTATTTAACTTGCTATAGATAGTACTTGGGGTTGGGAAGAATTGTAGTAGCCCCAAGATACACTTGTTCCATTTACATTTTGGTGTTGTGCCTTGGAAATGACAGGTGAAACACCCGC